AGGCCACCCTTTAATATACAGTATTAGTGCGGTGTGTATTGTCAGTGAAAAGCACTGTAATATGTCTTTGATATTACACATTTGGGCAATTCCACGTTAATGTTACGTTAGTCTGCACTTAACTACGTATTTCACTAAAAAATGCAACATTTTAACTCGGTCTTTGGTAGATTTTTACGTGACTAACATAAGGCTACTGTGGAAGTGCTCATTTCGGTTATAATGACACTATTTTTAGGTCCCTTTGATGACGTTATAACCAAGTTCTACTGTATTTCCATCTTCACAAGTTTCTCAGCTTATTCAGGGTATTTGGCGGAAGTTGATACAAAGGAAAATTGCCTGCCCCCTACTTTCTTCGAAAAACCCTTATTGCTGCCAAACAAGTGTCTTCCATTTACTGGATCTGACGATTCTGAACAGTTTCATCCAGCTAACATCCTGTGGTGCGAAACTGCCACATAGGGACTTTCGTTTTACCCTTATGCGCATCATGCTGGAACATGCTGTAATGTGTCGCTCCCAACCACAACGCCCATTAGGTCGACCTCCTGCTCTGTCATCCACAATTTTTCGTCTAGTGGAGGCCAATCGACATCACTGGCCGACCTCTTGTGCCATGAGAATGAAATGCCATGTTTGTTCTGCACGTGGAAAGAGGAAACGTGTTCAGACGAAGTGCGAGAAATGTGATGGACTGTGCATTCTCGGGTGCTTCAAACAGTACCACACGAAAGCAAAATTTAGTTAGACGACGCAGGGGAGTAGCCTGTACAACCATGAAACAGATAACAACAACAACAAAAAGGTATTGTACATTGCATTTACTGCCAAAGAAGTAACGGGATGTTTTTAAGCCATTTAGAAAAGAACCGGGATGCCATCCCCCCGCATCCCGCCCCACCTCAAGCCCTGCCCATACTAAAATTTTAACTAAAGCACTGACTTAACACAATGAATAACTAAAATCCTAACGAAAGCAATGACTTCATCCGAATTCATAAAAACTGAACTCGCCTACCTTCAAATTCTCCCAGATCAAATGTTGTGAATTTTGTTGTATAGCAATATTATCCTGAAATTATGAGAAACATGAGTTAGTGAATTTTGTTGTGCCGTACTGAAACCGTAAGTAATGTACTAACCTAATGTAACCTAATGAAAACTAACTTACATAATTCGCCCAAACCAAGCTTGTTCAGATTGTTGCGTATGACCCGAGCCCATCCCCCATTCTTTTCAGATATCGTGCCGTCTAGGCACACCTATGCTGACTGAAGTTCCCCAATACCTAAAGAGAGAGAGAGAGAGAGAAAAAAGAATGGAAACAGAAAAGCACCATATTTTCAGACAAATGCCTTCTTATGTACATATTTCACCGCGTTATGAAGGTTAGCCTGAAAGTCTTACACTTCTGTAACACTTTAAAGGAAGTATGGCTTTACTGAAATCTTATTTCCGCTGATAAATAGAAATGAATTAAAACAGATTAAGCCAGTTTACATACATCCACTTCTATACCATAAGATGAAGGGTATTTCTCTGCAATATAAGATTTCAAAATTACTTATTGGTATCGGCATTATCATCGACGTGTCAGATGACTGTGCTGCCTCCGTCGTCAGGGTAGAAGTGAACCTCAAGTTGGAGGCAATAAGTTCCTTCGAAATATTCAGAAATGTGTGACAGGCTATGCCATGTTACATCCCAGAAAGCTTTTCTCTTCTTAGCCATCGCCACAAGAATGTAAAATATCCGGTGTCATGTGCAGTCTTTGATGAGAGAAGCAGAAGGGAGAAGAAATTATAAATGTCAAATAATAGTTAACCTTCTTATCGACTGAGCTATTGTTTCCATCTCCAACACCTCCGCTGTGTTTACTTGAGCCTGATAGATGGTAGAACTGAAGAAAGCCGTCTTCTGGGATGTGGCGCCATGTAGAAATTGTGTTAACCGACGTTTCGGAGGAACATATCGCCTCCATCTTCAGGATAGAAGACAAGAAGAAATCCGCGAGCGAATCAGCTAGAGTAGGAGCAACAGACTGTGCACCTGCTCAAGCTGGTTCGCTCGCGGATTTCTTCTTGTCTTCTGCCCTGAAGATGGAGACGATATGTTCCTCTGAAACGTCGGTTAACACAATTTCTACACGGCGCCACATCCCAGAAGACGGCTTTCTTCATAGTCACCGCCATGAAAACCTCAAATCTTACATAGATGGTACCCACCTCATGACTCGTGGTACGCGGGTTCAAATACCCGGCGGAGGTCGTCGAATTTTTAAGTGCGGAAAAATTCAGGGAACAAGTCCTCCGGGAGGGACTTTAAGCTGTGTGTCCCGTGTCGTAACTTTACGGCACGTAAAAGAACCTCATATCCCCGAAGGGGATCACTGAGCCAAATTCCAGGATGTTTCCCGCCCAACAATAATCTCTAAGGCCTCTGATAGATGGGGGAAGCATTATAGACACCTCTAAGCAAGTGGCCGAACTCGGTTGCTCGGTGGGACTGATGGTACGCACCATTTATCGGTAGGGCAAAGAGACTGGAAGAATATCATAGAGGGAAGCACAATAGATCAAACTGGTCGCGGTGCATGGGGAAACCCACCCTCTCTAAATAACTAACTAACTACATAGATGGTAGAACTGTTCACGTGCCCAACGTTGCCAGCTAGCAACTACCACTGAACAGATTGCCTATTAATATTGCCATTTCCTGTATTGATACTTACATATCACGAATGTGCAACTTCGAATCGGTACTGTTCGCAACTCACGATCGCTGTTTACTTACAAAGATAAGAAGAAAACAAGTTTTCCCCCCATTTTCTCAAAACAAGATGTTTGGACAAATGCCGTCTTTCCCGGTATTTACCCAATTGTAACACACGAATACATGCGCCAATATAATTATCTCATAAGCTTTATTGTCTTATATGGATGGAGAAATGTAGAACGCATAGTCTGAATGGAGGCGCATGGGAAGCTATCAAGATTGTAAAGTCACCATGATTCCGCAAACGAGACTGACTGTGTGGGTTCTTGCAGTCTTACTGGAATAATACACACCTTCTAATCATATCAAGTTATCTTTTAAATTTGACATCTGGAAAGTTTAGGACAAATATCACCTGGATAGTTGCGTGTGAATTCAAGAACAGCTGTCCATTGACCCTTATTTACTTTCGTCGCAGTTTAACTAATTCTTACCTACCATAGATTTAATTTGTGTGCAATTTACCCTAGAACCACATTTAGACACGACTCCAGTGTAAGGTTGTAACCTTCTACTTTCCTACCCCTACTTCGAGATTTTATGCCACTCTTAAATAGATTATGGATTGAACAGTTTCTAATGTGACTGACACGTGATTGTGATTGATTGAATGAATGAATGAATGAATGCATAAGGAGTGGGCTGTTCCGGCCCTAGCACTGCGACTTTCAGTCATCTACTGTTCTTTCCCCTTTTTAGTTTATGGGGGGGGGGGGCGTCACGGCCGCGCCATTGCTTAAGCGGTTAGTCGCTGGCTTCCTACCGCGGCGGCCAGGGTTCGATTCCGGGCCTGGTCAAGTGGGATTTGTGGTGGACAAAGTGGCGCTGGGGCGGGATTTCTCCGAATACTTCGGTTACCCCTGCCAATCTTCATTCCACCAAATTCTCCATCATCATAATCGCCCGGGGCCAGTAGGCCAATCAGTGGCCGCCGTGCCGAATTGACCCAGTTGGACTCCACCCCCCTCCCCCCTAAGCGAAGAAAGAAACATGATGGGCGTCGTAATAGTCTTTTTGTTCCATACAGAACTGGCCCAGGTGACCAAATCTTAGATAAGCTGTAACTTCAGAGTCAAATAGGATGTGAGCATTGGGGATGATGCTGGGACTGTCTCGGGCGTCGCGGGATTTCGAACGTTGGGAATAATGACTTGTAGTTGTTGTGGAGTTGGTGTACCTGGTAATGATCGCGTGAAATCCATCAGTTGTAAACGTTCTAAAGGTTGTGAAGGTTGTGAAGTTCAAAGTCGAGACAGTAAAGAAGGGTATAAGTGTAACACTGCGTAGTTGACTGTGTGAGCAGTAAATGGATGTTAGTGGTTGTGCATTGTGTAACGAATGTCATTGACAACTGTTATTTCTAGACAATAAGTTGATTTAGGTAGAATAAGGTAGTATTGTAAGTGAATTAAAGTAACTTAATGGCACCAACGTTAAGTAAATTTGTTACGAAGAGAAATGTGGCAGGAGCAGTGTCAATTTCTTTGCTCTATTGGTTACTTCGCATGCGAAGAAACAGTAAAACAACAAGGTAAGGGGATATAGTTGCGCCTTTAATTTTTGTATAATCGTAGACTTAAAAGAGTTCTCCAAATGAAAAATTTGTCTGGTATCGAAGTTATATATTTGAACCATTTAAAGTGCCATTGTAGGTTTGAATCCAGCTTGGGGTATGATTGCATGTCAGGTTTGTTTTCAGTGTTTGTGTTAACGTTTATGGGTGGAGGCCTTCCAGTGGGCGAGTCCTAGCAAATTTCTGCAAGATTCGTAATTTCAGAGGGTAATTCAAATTTCAAACAACAAAGGATTTTTTCCATACATGCTGAAGAAGAAAGTGAATATAATATTATAATATGTAAGCCTTTGTAGCTTGCTAATGACCTGCTTGGGCCCTGATGATGGTAGAGAGATGTGCTGAGCAAATCATAATGTATTAAAAGAGTTTTTTTTTTTATAACTATACTCTGTGCCTTGTAGTTGATATAATTTGGCACCTGATTATGCAGTATGACACTATAGATTCCAACTCTAAAATATAGTTTTGTATGTGTGTAGAGATGAGTTTATAAAACAAAAGATTCTGAATGGAGCTGTAGCAGTCATTCCTGAATTTAATGTGGTCATTTGCTAAATATAATTTTGGTATTGGTGTTTTTCCCAGATATCTGAACTTTACCACCGTTTTGGAAAATTAATAGCTATCTTTTATTAGGATTTTCTTCTGCATTCTAGTGGTGGGACCTGAAAATAAACTTAGTTTTTTCTGCATTTACTTTTAAGCAAGCTTCATCACTATTGCCTACCAGCGCATATATATTCTTTATGGTATTTGTGTTTTCATCCACTAAACTAACATCATCATAGATTAGGAGCTGATGTGTCCTATTCAGTCTGAATCCCTTCTTATTGTTCGTTCTTTCTTTCTTTCTTTCTTTCTTTCTTTCTTTCTTTCTTTCTAACCCCCCCCCACCCCTCCAAGTTGTTTGTTCTGGAGCACGAGTTTAAAAGTAATGGTGACGAAGCATTTGCTTCTTGAAGACTGTTCTGGAAAGGAAGTATAATTCCATATACTAAATATAATGAATCCTGAGATCACAGCAGTACTAAGACATAGTTTTTGCTTGGACTCAATGGCTGCAAGTTCAGTATACTGATCATTATGATTTGGATTTCTTATCAACATTGTGAAACCATTTTGTTTAATATGGTGTGATGTGTCTTGAAACCGATCACAACAGGTACAAGTTACACATTACAACTTGTTAGTCTGTGGGTGTGTGCTTTCACAATCTCCTTCAGCACCTTAATACATGCTTGCTGACTGGATGGCTGCAAGTTCAGTATACTGATCATTATGATTTGGATTTCTTATCAACATTGTGAAACCATTTTGTTTAATATGGTGTGATGTGTCTTGAAACCGATCACAACAGGTACAAGTTACACATTACAACTTGTTAGTCTGTGGGTGTGTGCTTTCACAATCTCCTTCAGCACCTTAATACATGCTTGCTGCATATTATTATTCTTAAACTCTCACCTGTTCCACCCTGGCATAGCATGTGACCAGTCTGCAACTGTCATCTCATCAGACACATGAGAGATAAAACATCTGATGTTATTATATTTCTGGGCTCATATCTACCTCACTGGGTTGCAGGGAATTTTGTATTGATGGATTGCTTGTTTGTGGTTTGACTGGTTGTTCCTTTGTTGTCTTCCACAGTTTCAACATTCAGCATGCTGCCAAACTCTGTGCCATTTACTGAGCTCTTCTGTATACTTGTGTGTATTTATCATCAGCCTTGGTTGTGTGTCTTCTTCTGTACAGGCTTCTGAAATGCCTTGAAAAGTCTCTATAATTATAAACCCAACCACCTGGTCATTATGGGGATTTTACACCAAATATCCACTGTCAGGCAGGGACATCTATTGTGTTTTAGGATACTTGACCATAAAAGCCTGCCCAAAAATGAGTCTACAGGCTCCCCTGCTAAGGAGGCAGCCCCACATTGAGACTTTAGGTCAGATGGAGCTCTAGTCAGTGATGTTCACACTTGTCTTCATCATGCTGTTTTTTCTGTCTGGAAAACAAATGGACCAATACAGAGGATGACAAATGTGGGCACTGAAGCCATTGCTGAGGTGTGTCAGTCTGTCGGCTACATCAGGAAAGAGGAAGTTCGGCTTATCCTTTGGTTCGGGCACATTTGTCTGACATATGGGTGTCTGTTATACTCGTAAGGTGATGACCTGGCGAATGTTTGTACATAGTAGTTGTATGATGTCATTCATACCAGGTTACCCTTTTTGTTATGATGAAGAATGCCAAATCTTCTATTTATTTATTTATTTTGTCTCTATAGATCATTGTTACATGATGTAGGACAAGTCAGTTACTGTACATTGGCTGATTACAGTAAGGGAATGAAGTTACAGTACAGTTGTTTACATTAGATTACAGTAGATTATAATAGTTAAGAGTTCCTGTAGTGTGAGGTGGAATCCATATTAGGTCCCCTCAGCACATTGGCTTCCATATGTTCTGTTGTACCTGTACTGGTGATAATGCTTTTGGAGAATTTGATGGAATGAAGATGGTATGTTATGTGACATATTAGGAGATGATGTAGCTAATTTCTGCCATTCTTTTGTGGTATAGGAGTAGACAACTTTATTCAATTTTGTTCTTTTGTGTAATCATTTTATGTTATTGTTTTAAGATCTCAGTGCCCTATAGATAGCCTGTGTTGTTACTAGTTTTTCACTTATTAATAATGTCATGTATTTATGAGTACACATGGGGTTTGGATTGGCAAGTGGATTTATTGGAGTCTTAAAACTTGTAACTGCAAACAGTTATAGCACTATCACAATTTCACACATGTTACAAATGACTACAGTAATAGTAGTATAGTTATAACCACATAATAACCTTCACTAGCGGCATGTGCTTGACAAATGCCAGGTGGGGCTGGAGAGGAATATAACAGTAGGCAGAGAGAGTGGGACTCCATGAGCTCCAGCATCTCCCATCATCCATGGAAGTTCCTTCTATATATACAGAGTGTCCCAGGAGGAATGGACCAAACTTCGGGAGGGTGTTCCTTATGTTAAAGTATGCCAATATAACCCAAAACACCTATGTCCAAAGTTGAACGGTTACGGAGATAATGGCCAGAGAAGTGTCAAACTTTGACCGGCGTTGCACACTTGTTGATTACAAAATACATATTAAAACTGGCAGGAATATGTGGATTCTGTAANGGGTTATATCGGCATACTTTAACATAAGGAACACCCTCCCGAAGTTTGGTCCATTCCTCCTGGGACACTCTGTATACATAGTTTCACACATATTTTTTAGATACCAATTTATTTCTCTTTCAGAATCTCTGTGCATAGTGAAGTCCAGTATGTGGTTGGTGAAGTAAGTACTTTTTTTGTTTCAATTTAAGATATACCTTAGTCTGAAAAGTGATTGACAATGATTTCAGTTGCTGTTTTCACTATTACAGTGGAACCTCACTTAACGAGCATAATTTGTTCCAGAATATTACTCATAATGCGAAACACTCATTAAGCGAAACAGTTTTTCCCATATAAATTAATGTAAAATACTATAATGCTTTCCATGCCCAAAAAAATACTCAACAAATTTTATGTATAACGTTTATTCAAAGAAAATTTATATACATTGTTAAGGAGCGTGAATCATCTTCATCTTTTCTTCTATGCGGAATGAACCAACCTGGAATGTGGATTCAATTTGCAGAAAAAAAAAATCCATATGAGGAGCATCCTTTCAACATCATTGAGAATATGTAACTGTTGCATAGATATTCTTGTCACTCCCTTTGAAGCATCTGTCTCCTTAATCTTGTCCTTCTTCTTGAGGATAGTGCAAATTGTTGATGTACACCGATTCTATATGCATGCTAGATCAGCCACGCTCACACCTCATTCTTGCTTTTCAATGATTTTACGTTTCATTTCTACGGTTATTTTTATTCTCTTATGGCTGTCTTTTTGCAGCTTTTTCTTCAGGGACATTTTTGCAAGGGTTATTAAACTTTGCACAAAAAAATCACAAATAATATGTCTGAACACAAGTTTGGAAAAATGTGTGATCACAAGCGACACTTTAGCGGAACGAGTGCTAAACACAGACTGATGTAGCAAGCACACAATCCGGGACTTCCCTTCTTGTCACTCGTTAACACTTCGCAGACCGGATGCATAGGCTAGGCATTTGGGTTTTAAACGTGGCAGACCGGTCGCCTAGATTTAGGCTTTTAGGACACGTTATGTTGCAACACACTATTCCTCGCTCTGGTGGCCATGTGTCTGTAAAAGTACTGCGTAGCTGACCTTCGGAATGTTTGTTTTCCGAGTCAGCAACGTGACCACTCTCTATTCCCCTCTCACTCTAAAGAAAAGTCCCTTTGTTCAAGTCGAAGCTTCTATGTGTGAAGCAAGATATTCTCAGTGTCAACGTGGCTCAGAGACGAAAGCAGTTGAAGGCCGCACGAGCTCTCAGAGAAGAAGAAATCTGTGATTTGATCTCCGATGAGCTATCTGACTTGCCAACTGCTTCGTCTTCTGATAGTGAGGGCAGTGTCAGTGACCGTGACAGGAGCCCCCAATATATTGTGACCAGAAGAGAAAGTGAAAGTGACAGTGAGAGCTCCGATGAAAGTGCGAGTGCTAGCATTGTGGGGACAGCCACATGGGCTAAAGTGGACAAAACACCCACTTTGGGAAAGTTTACTGGTGATCCAGGGGTGAGACAAATGCCATCGGACCCCACACAAGTGTCTGAAGTAGCTGAACTGTTTTTTGAAGATAGTTTCTTTGACATGTTGTGTCAGGAGACCAACAGATACTATCTCCAACACCGTGAGGCTTACGACAGTACCTATAAGGTGTTGAGGTGGGTGGATGTCACTTCAGCAGAAATTAAAAAAATTTTTGCAATAATCATTCTAATGGGGTTTACAAAGAGGGATAATTTTAAAGACTATTGGTCCACTGATCCATTTTTAGAAATTCCCATTTTCGGCACACTCATGAGTCGTAAGAGATTTGAACAGATATGGTGTTTGCATTTCAGTAATAATGAACTGCAACCACAATCAACGGGCAGGCTTTTCAAAATTCAGCCCTTATTAGACTTTTTCGTTGAGAAATTTCAGACAGTTTATAAGCCAGAGCAGCAACTGTCTTTGGACGAATCTGTGATTCCTTGGAGGGGAAGGCTTCGTTTTCGAACGTATAATCCTGGGAAACTCACAAAGTATGGCCTACTTGTTCGTGTAGTCAC